GGAAAGAGCTGCTGAGTGAGCAGCCAGTTGGTTATCCTTGCTAGATGGTACTTTGAGCACCACCCCTCAGTGGCATGCAGTATCTCCCACCTACCCTTCCTTGTCCTGTAGAAATATTCCCTGGTTGAGGATACAGGTTTGCTTCTCCACCTATGGTAATACTCCTGTTAGTCAGGAGATCTTAATCTGAGTAGCCTGAGCTTTGGTGCATGGCGAGACTGCCGTGCCACTTCCTGGCATCAAACAAATTATTGAGACTTGTTCTTTTATCTGTAATACCATCAAGAACCTATAATCTTCTATGTTAATTCTTGAGTGTGTCCCCCATTGATTTTTTCCCCTGTAGTACACCTTCACAGAAAAGCCCATAATACATATTTAACTCCTATTACTATATAAGTAGAGTGTTTCATATTTCTCTGTCCTGCTCATTCTGCAGCTTAAGAGTGCCTAAGATAGGTCCAACTGTGTTTTATGAGTTTAACCTATTCCACATTCTTCCAGCATCTGCCTTAGCACTTGTTCTGATTCCAACCTCATAGCAAGTTGGGGATGGACAATGTAAAAGCCAACTATCTTCAGACTAAATAAATGGAATTATAGTTCATGTTGATTACATATTAGGAGAATATTTAGAAAACAACTGAGTGTAGATATTGCCTATTCTAAAGACTGAGGGTGGGTTTTTACTAGAGTATTCCATGCAAATAGTGTCATTGTTTCATAAACATTTTTTTAAAAAATCTCAGAGATGCCTAGAGAGGAAAGAATTTTTCTGGAGGCAGACCGATTGGTTGAATACAAGTGTTATATATAATCTTCTTTATTTATAGTCATTCTTTCCCAATAGCTTTCTTTCTCTCTTTCCGTATGCCTTTTTCCTATTGTATTTTGTGTCTTACTCTTCTTTCTTATTTTTGCCACTGCACTTCTTTCAGAGAAAAGCATTGTCTCTGTCCTTTTCCGTAGTGTTACCTATCAGTTTGTTTTACTTTTCCTTCCTACATTTTCCTTTACACAGTTAACAAAGTTTGCTCTACTGATCCTGTGTGTTTCCCTTACCACATGAAAGTTCCATTGACTTGTCCTGTCCTAGCTAGTTTCTGGGGTTACTGTAGGAAGGGCAAGCTACCTGTTGTACTCCCTGTCATTTCTGCCAGCACAATCTGATTGGGTCTGGTGGACTTCTTGAGAATATATCACCTTAAGCTTTTGCTCCATTACAGAAATGTGCAAATTAATTCTGCCTTTCCTTTCTTTGAGCAAGAAGCTTTCTGTACTGCAATGCCATTTACTATGGTTTTAGAAATTCCTGTGTAATTTGGCTAATCCTCAAGTAATTAGTAAATTGAAAACATAATTCCTTTTCAAAGCCAAATCTTGTACAATTTCCTGATATTGCTGTGGCAAAATTTCCATTTTCCATTGTGTTTTAACTAAATGATTCTCACCCCAGAACTGTTCCATAAAACCTAGAGCATGATCTGCATATGCTTGAATGGCATTTTGTATTTTTCTTCCTAATGAAAAAGGTATAATTGTGATATGCCCAAAGAACGTTTGCTGTTGGGCAGATTAATAAATAAATATAAATAATTAAATGCATTATATATTGTGAGGTGAAATTAATTTGGTTATAGAATGGGAAATATTCAGCACTGAAAAACTTCTGATTTAATGTTTTAGGAATATCACCTGCTCTGCTGAATTGCAACTCCTTGATCTATATGACTTACCTGAGGGTGCCCTCCTCAGAGATGTACTGTCATCCAAGTCAGAGCAGGAGGACAGTAGAAGCAACCTTTGCCTCCGTCTTCACTAGACGGGTTTCCCAGTGTCCTCCCTGCCCATCAAAACACGCACACCTTCCTCTCTCTGAAGCCACTTTCCCAGCCTCAGAGCGCTCCAGCACAGTTCTTTCCATGCCAGGTCTGAGGGAGATGTTGGGTAGATCTCTACTTCTTTCCTGTAATATTGGAGCACTGCCCCCAACCTTGGAATTTGGAATCTGAAATATCCTCTGGCCCTCAGACACTGTCTAGGTCCCATAGGCTTCCTCCCTAAGACATCTCTGTTAATTTTCCCCCCATCAGTGCAGTCAAACAGGGAAAAATGGAGTCTTTGGAGCTTGAATCTGAGAATATAATAGGAAGTGACTGATTACCACCCCCATTCTTCTTTTCCTCAGCACAGTTTTTCCCAGTCTTAAGAACTGTACAAATTTTTCCTGTCCCATTCTAACGCATGTTTTCACCAATAATATTATATCTACTCTTTCCATTCTTAATAAACGTTCCGACTAATTTCTTATATTAGAGGAATTCCGTATGTTAATATTGAGGGAAAAATCCTGTTACTGGTTACAATTGCTTCCAAAAATGTGAGGAAAGACTAGAAACAGATTGGAATCCTATCAGCAGGCATTCAGTACTGTGGAGCATCTCCTCTTCAAGACTGGAAACTAACTCTGGTGCACGCCTCCAATCCCCTCCTAGCTCCTGCAGAAATCTCTGCAGTGGCAGTTGGAGAAGAAAGAAAATAGGTTTATCAACCATCTCTCCATTTGCAAAGGGAGAGTGGGTGTGAATTCAACAGATCTACTGCTATCGCTATCCTTAACCATCAGGTGAGTTAGACTAGCTCAAGAACTTACCTAAATGTTTGATCTGCCCCTCCAGCTTCTTTCTAACAGGGCACAGGGTGGAGCAGAGTTTCCAGTGGTGAAGGCTGCACTCAGTGAGCGCAGAATTGCTCTCCTTGTCTTGTAGACAAATATAGAACATAAAATGATCAGGTTGGTGCAATCAGCACAGCCCACCATGGCCTGTATAAGTCATGATGGGGTGCAGGGTCCTGCCAGACGGTTTCTGAATATTCAGGAACCCGATGGTTGTATTTTCTGAACTCTGACAGCAAGCGATGTGCAAGGCTTAAATAAATCTCCCAGGGCCTTAGGACAGTTATGCAAAGGTTATGGAGAGGTTAAATCCTCTTAGAGCACAACTGCCTAGAACCAACAGCTTGACAAGCGATGGCAGATTGCCCCCTGCACGTTTCAATAAGGGTATTTGTCCCCATACCATATACCATCTTGTTTTTCAGGTCCTTTTTGAATACCTTTTAGTTTATTTCTTTATCACTTACCTTGGAAGGGTCACCTGTCCAAATGATCTTCTGTATTGCTTCTTTTACCTGGAAGCATCTTTTACTTTGAACACAGGGCAACTGATAAATTTAATAAATACATTTCACAAAAGTATCTAAAGTGAACTTCCTTCTAATGTCATATCCTGCATTAATTCTCACTGTAGTCTCTATTTCAACCACTCAGCCTGATTCCAATCCCAGAAACTCTTTAAAGTGTTCTTTCACAAATCATACAACTTCTTGTCCTCGAGTTGTTCTTGAATACCTCTAGTGTCAAATTGAATTTCCTTGATTTGTGCTTTTGTTCCTCTGTTATTATCATGAAATTGTGCTTTCATCATGTTCTATTATTACATTTTATAATTGCACTTTTTGTTTTTCTGTATTTGTTTTCATTCTGGTATGACTTTCATGGCACTTCTGTACTGAGATTTGAGCTGTGTTACTTTGCTGGGTGTAGAGGAGACACTCCCCCCCACCCCCCAAATCAGTTCACATGCTTTCTATGCTGGGCACAGAGGAGCATTTCAGTCTGCTTACTCACCTGAGTGCAATTGCTGGTTGCCTTTGACGACCACGATATTGCTTAAATACGAGGCTGACTTGGTCATTAACTTTTGTACGTTGCCAGGATTTCCAATAACCAAATCGGCATTTTCAAACCTAGATGAACTAAATTGTCAAATAGAGTATGGGTGAGTGCTTGTTGATGGGCACTGCTAGGCATACCCCAAACCCCTCTCTGAGTTATATTTAATGACCCATCAATTTTAATTGCTTTTCTGGCATTCTTATTCAGGGGGTCTACATGTTACACACTCAAAACATTTAGTTATTCCCTCTTCATGTGCTTTAGGCAACCAATATTCAAGTCAATGCTTTCTGTATGTGTTTTTGAAAGAGCGTCTTTACTTCCCACTACCATTCATGCCAATCCTATTATTTGATGTTAGGAACGGTGCTTTATGCAGCATTTATGATTACAGAGAGAGAAATATAATTCCCCTTTACAAATGACTGAAAAGTTATTTAAAGGTTTTGTTTTTCTGATCAAATTTCAAGCAACAAAGCATCAACACCACTACCCAAAAACCCCTAGCAGGGATAACAATGCATACAGGAATTTAAATAATTCTGACATGAAATCCCTTATGTTTTCTGCTTCTCAATTATGTAACTAATGTGTGTGTTCCGAAGTTCAGATATGCTCCAAAATTTCCTAAAATGCAATTGCAGGCTATTTTCTGGTAGATACATTTCCTCTCCCACTGTGTTATAATGCATGCAATATACAACATCTGCTTGCAATCGCAGGGCACCTAGCAGTTATATTTGATAGGAAACTCTCTCCATGCAGTTTGCTGTCAGACACAGCTTTCCTCCTAAACTGCATCACCCACAGAAGACTCCTTGCAAGCCAGAATCCTAATAGCATTTGCTGGGTTGTATTCAATATTAGTGTAATGTAAATCCTATTCATTTCAATGAGCATAGTCTGAGTAGGACTAACAAGGAATACAACTTAGTGTTCCAGCTAAAGCCAATGGACATGTGATGTATGCAGTCCTGGGAGTGGGTAGTATGTGGTGTGGTCCCAATTCTAGCACATGTTCACAATGTAAGTTGAATGCTTGCATAATGCATGCATAAATGATGCACACATTAAATATATCCATGGATAAAAATACGACCAAACTTCTTGTGCAGCATATAATGCTTTAAATATGTGTAAATATTCTAGCGCCATGGCATTCAGATGTTGGTTTCAACAGGCAAGCTAGTTGGACAAGCAGTTGGAAAAATGATTAAAATCGAATGACTAAATATCAACTGTATTTTTACAAATCTTTTAGGTGCCACAGCTGCAGCTCGAAAAGAAGTGATAAGGAACAAGATCCGGGCAATAGGCAAAATGGCACGAGTGTTCTCTGTGCTGAGGTATGACATCCATTTACTTTGCTATTTATTAGAAACATGGGGCAGCATTTGTTTCTCGGTGCTTCGCAGTCCACTTTGAAATGCTTCTTGTGTGTTAATATACTAATCAGTAAAAAGTTTTCCTCCGGAAGGGTTTATATTTCAGGTAGATTATAGTCCTGATCCAGAGGTTTCTTGTACATGCCTTACTTACAGTGTAAGTAAGCAAGATTTGGCTGTGCTTTATGAACCATCAAAGAAGCATTAGTTTCACTTCACTCATGTTCCTGGATATAACTGCATACAAGAGAAAAATTTTGCTCTTCGTCTTACTCCAAGCTGCTCATGTGTTGTTATAGGAATGAATGGTTTTAAAATATCCATCTGACATATTTTAAGTTAGTTAATAGCTAAATTAATCATTTAAGAATATCCTTCTATACAGTGACCCACTGGTTTACTCTACAGTTGGAAACACAAGGCACTGTTTCTTTAGTCCTTTAAATCTTTTCCCTTCTGTTTTTGACAGAGAGCAGGGCTATTTCATTTTCCTTGACATACTGAAGCTGGGTTTAGCTGTTTAGCCAGAGTTCTGAGAACCTACCTCACAACCGAAGGGCTGCAAAACAGTGGGATACAGTGCAATTTTTAGGGCAGGCAGGGGTGCTTAACCCACCACTTTTCCCCTACAGACTACTTCCTGCTCACCCTACAGCTTTTCCCAGCAATGCAACAGACATGCGCTTGTGCATTGTCAGGTCAGATGGAGTGTGGTGAAGCAGCAGCGGAGGAAAGACAAGCAACCATTCTGCTTCCTTTTTGCATATCATGCCTTCCCCATTACTGCTCTGCAACAACCACCACCAACACTTACCTATCCCTGTCTACCACTAGTCCTAACTTAAGTTGCAAAAGTGAAAGATTTTTGGCATTATAAGCACTGACACGTGATGGAAATTTCAGATGCTCAGGATGTTGCCTGATTGATGTAATCTTCATGAGAATATGTCTAGTCTAACCCATTTTTTTAGTATATATCCTTGCATATTCATTATGGGGAATGTAAATATGCCAGATGGTTGATACCTTGACAGTTAGCCATACATGTATCCAGTAATTTTTAACAATGTATTAAACTGCTGAGAATACTTGTCCTCTATTCAGAAAATTAATTTTATTTGCAGTGCAGATATAAAATTAGTGCAGTGCAGATGTAAATCCAGGAAATTTTAAATGCTTCTCTGAAGGAAAGACTGATGCTTTTCCTGCTAAAAAAGGCAGTGATTAGGCTCCTTTTGAAGAGGACAAACCTGGATCCAGAAGATGTTACTAATTTTAGGCCAGTAGCCAATATCCTGTTCTTGGGCAAGGTGCTTGAGAGGAGAGTTGGCTGAACATCTCCAGGTGCTCTTGGAAGAAACCGATTATCTGGACCCATTTCAGTCCAGTTTTAGGACTGGTTATGGAACGGTAACTGCCTTGGTTGCCCTGTGGAATGACCTTCACTGGGAGAAAGACAGGTGGAGTGTGTCCCTGTTGGTTCTCCTGGACCTTTCAGAGGCATTTGATACCATCAACCATGGTATCCTTTCAACAAGGTTGGCCAAGTTGGGATTCGGGGGCACTGCTTTGCAATGGTTCCACTCTTACCTGACTGACCAATTCCAGATGGTGTTGCTGGGGGAATATAGCTCTGCACTGTGGCAAGTATGTCATGGAGTACCTCAGGACTCCATTTTATCCCCCCATGCTTTTCAACATTTACATGAAGCCATTGAGAGAAGTCATCGAGGAGTTTGGGCTCTATCTCTGCTCTATCTCTCATTTTTATCAAACCCAGGTGAGGAGGTGATGGTCCTAAATTAGTGTCTGTTTGGGGTGATGGGCTGGATGAGGACCAACAAATTGAAACTTAATCTAGACAAGACAGAAGTTTTGTTGGTAGGTGCTCCCGTGTCCAGATGGAGAATATCTTCCCTTTCTTGGATGGGGTTGCAGTCCCTCTACAGGACAGGGTCCAGAGCTTGGGGGTGCGTCTGGACCCTGAGCTATCCCTGGAGCCCCAGTTTGGCTCAGTGGCCAGGAGTGCCTTCCATCAGCTCCAATTAATTCATCAACTTTCACCATCTCTGGACAGGCAGAACCTAACAACAGTAATCCATTCACTGGTAACTGCTCGGTTGGACTATTGTACTGCATTCTACATTGGGCTGCCCTTGAAAATGGTCCGGAAGTTACAAGTGGCACAAAATAGAGCAGATAGGCTGCTGACGGGAATTGGTAGTACTAAACATATTATACCAGTCCTGTATGAATTACACTGGTTGTCCATTGAAGTCTGATTCCGCATCATGGTGCTCGTTTTGATGCATAAAGCCCTAAATGGTTTAGGACCTGAATATCTGAAAGCACATCTCCATCCATATAAGCCTACCCAGACCCTGAGATCATCATCAGAGGTCCTGCTCTGGGAGCCATCTCTAAAGGAAGTTAGGCTACTGGTGGCAGGGCCTTCTCAGATATGACACCCCATCTATGGCATCATCTGTGGAATGCGTTCCCCAGAGAGGTCCGCCTGGCGCTGTTGTTATTTGTTTTTCGGCGCCAGGCCAAGATCTCTTTATTCAAACAGTATTTTAATAATCTTTAATATTTATAGTTTTAATTATGTAGCCAGTGTGTTTCCAACTTTTAATTGTAATTGTAATTCTATTTGTTTTATTTAATTGTGTTGTGAGCCGTCCCGAGGCTGTGTAGCAATGGGAATGGCATATAAAAACTTTAAATAAATAAATAAAAACTTCCCAGGGCTATTCATCAAGTGTCTTCTTTAAACATATCCCGGGACCGGACTGATTTTTTTTATTCAAGGAGCATTTTAATTGTTGATGATTTAAACTGGAATTTAATTTTACTTATATTTTAATGTAAATTTTAGTTACTTAATTTAGATAGTTTCAATCTGTTGTTAAACTATTATTTGGAGCTCCTGCTATGTTGTTATAGTATGTTATTTATTATTGCTTTTCTAGTTTTAATTGTTTAAACTGTATTTATTTTAGGATGTTTTATGTTGTTCATTTTTATAATGTAAACTGTCTAGAGAGCCATGCAGCTATGAGACAGTATACAAAGTGATGGATGGATGGATGTTTTAACCCTGAACAAAAATTATGTTGACAGAAATACGTATTTCTCAACAGTGGGAGCAAAGCAAAATTATGTGATTCATTTTGTGTAGCCTTCTTTAAAGTATCAACCTGGTGTCTAATGCAGGTTCTAGCAGTGCCAATCCAATAAATAAATAACATACGATATAAAAGGATGATCTCTCATCTGGAGCTGGCTCTAGAAATGATACACACAGCCTTACCCTGCCTCCCCTGATTGCATCAGCTGAATGGTCTCTTCCTTTTCCTGCCAGGGAGGAGAGTGAAAGTGTGCTGACACTGAAAGGGTTGACTCCAACAGGAATGCTGCCCAGTGGGGTGCTCTCTGGAGGAAAACAAACTCTGCAAAGCGGTAAGCATGTTTGTGCATGTCTGCTGTGACTGAACTGCTAAACTACAGACTTTCTCATGCTCCTTTCCATTACACAAATGCAGTCTTTAGGAGGGGAGAAAAAGAGAGAGATCACAATGCGACTGGAAACTGATTCACACGGTGTTGGCTTTTTTGCCTTAATAAATACACAAACACAGTTTTCAAAACAACTGGTTACAGTTGACGTTGTATAGTGGATCCTTCTTAGGACAGGATTTGTACTTCTGCATAAAATAATGTTGTTGGGGGAGAAGAACTCTAGCTCATTTCTGTGCTAGTTCCCTGGGATTTTGCTGCCTCCCAGGTCTGTCAAAATATGTCTGAATGACATAGAAAGGTCTGTGTCACAAGAGGTCAGACAGAAAGAGAAAGCACATCATGTACAACCGGGTCCTCCACTGCCCATTCATCGTGGAGTTGAGCCATGTAGACTCCCTCAAAGGTGGTGATCCATGCATGCATCTTTGACATCAGAATGAAAAACTGAGTGGGTGTCTGCACCAGCGTAGGTGGCCCCTGTGATCTGGGTGCATAAACAAGGACATGTCCACTGCAGTTGAATGCATCTTCCTCACTCTAACAAACACTTGCATATCACTTACTCTCAGGCTGAACCTTAGCAGGCCAAGCACTAGCACCTGGCATACCCAGGTTAATGCTGGGCCCTCAGAAGGGTTCTCTGCCACATCAGGCCCATTGCCCCTACAGCTGGAGCCAATAGCATAGCCACCATGCTCATTTCTCATGGGCTCTCATTATAGGGAAGTTAAAAGGGCAGTTATGCTGGCATGACTATGTAGGTCCAGCTCTCCCATTAGGCCTTTGCTGCTGCCAGGCTACCCATGAGGCTGCCTGCCTCAAAGCAGCGCTGGAAAGAGAGCCAGGTCCATGAGACTTGTCTCACTGGTCTGGTGGGACAGTCATTTTCATTTCCCCACCAGTGGGCCTTGTGCCTCTTTCAGAACAGTGGCTGGGCTGCCCCAACCCCAGTGGGCCATTCCCTGCTACCTACCATCAGGTAAGCCTGGCTCTGCTGAGGAAGTGGGTCCTGCTGTGGGCAGTGGGGGAACTTTCCCAGGGCAATATGAAACGAGTGCTACCCCTCAAGGAAGCATTCAGATCACTGAATACATTCCTGTGTCCTATAGCAGAATCTGTCATCATCACATTACCTTGCTATCCTGCCATTTTATGGTCGTCCTTTACTCCAGTTTGTTTGTTTGCTAGATTTGTATCTACCCATTTATTAGATTTATCCCTCCCCTTATCCTCACAATAACAGCCCTGTTGGGTGAGTTAGGGTGAGAAAGAGTGACCCAATGAGCTTCATTTTGTAGCAGGAACTAGTCCCCGGATCTCCCAGGCTCCCTGTCTTACATTCTCACCACCACTGTACTTCCTCTCCTTCACAACCCAGCTGTTTATGAATCTACTTCATTAAGATAAGGGGTAGGGAACCTGGTGCCTTCCAGATGTTTTGCCCTACACCTCCCATAATCCCTGAACATGGACTGGCCCTGCAGACTTGGAATTCCTGGACTTGTACATTACCATTGCCAGGTACCCTTAATTAATAGCAAGTGATGGTTTTAGGCCATTGCAATGGCTATCAAGTTAAGTGGGAATGAGAAAGAAAGATTACAGCTTCTCCTCCTAAATATTCCACCATACAGTGTAGCAGAGGGTTGTTCCACTGCACATACAGGCAAGGTTGTTTTTTACAGTGTGGAAAGCAGCAGTAAGAATGTTACTGGAATAACCTCTGTGAGGACCAGCATGCATATCTAAGTCTGGCTAAAGAATACCAAACTGTATTCTTCTCCTTTTCCTCTTGTTCATGGAGAACTTCAGTGAAGTTACTTGAATGAATTGGAAGGGAAGAACATGCTGAAATTGGGTTGGCTTTGTAGACAAAGACGGAGGCACTTTCTTCCCCTGACAGTTTCAAGGCCTCTTTTGTGCAAGGCGCACTGTAGGGCTATAGCTAGTAGAATATTTCTCTTCTAGAAAGGAGCCTCAATCCAGTGTTTTAAAACATAACATTATTCTGTTAGCTGTTTACTCCTGTGCAACCTATATTTCATGCACACATAAGTGTCCTACTGTAACTATGATGTAGCTTTCAATAACTGTGAGACATGGACATCCACTTTTTCAGTAACTCGGTCTCAGCCTCTAACTTTCCCATTTCTTTCTTGGAGTTTCTTCCCTGTATTTTTCCCTTTTCTATCTCCTTTTCTCTTATCTAGAAGATTCAGGTATTCTGTGGTAAACTCTCTTTTTGGTGACTTGTGTGTTACACATATGGTAATGTTCTGCTTTGTAAATGCTGCAGTACGAACCACTAACGTGTGTTTGTCTCGCTCATGGAATTTTTGATGTTCATAGAGGATCTTTTCCCTATTATTAGTCCTCTGATTTTGGAGAGAATGAGTTCCAACAAAAATGCTGTGGTTGCCTTGATAAAATACGTGTTTCTGTGACATTGTCCAAAGCCTTGTTAAATCAACTGTTGGGAAAACCCCTCATACTGCAGTCTTATAGCTTAGTAAAACTTTACCATACACAACCCATTAGTTAACACCTTGCACCGTTCACCAAATATACTGAAATCTACATAGTTTCTGTTAAGCACATTTCCCGACTTGATGTATTAACAGAAAATATGGGCAATATATTCTGTGAAATGTGTACATTCCTAGTAGCCATTATTTTCAATGTATTCATGCTGGTTTGGATCCTGTAAGTCATCTTAATTTCTGTTGTTTCTCTTACATATTATGCATATTTCTTTTAGTTATTTAGTTCTCTTATCTGCCACACCTGAGGGCTATAGATTCCATGGGGGAATTTGTCCTTGATGCAAAAATGACATTTAATGAGATTCCACTGATTTCCACATTAAACATTGAAACTTTAAAAATGTAACATTCTGAATTGGCCAGCGCTAAGTCAGTTTGTTTGACAGACAGTTAAGTTTCCTTACTGTTACATAAAACACTGGTGGTAATTTAGATGCATCTGACTGTCAAAAATATCATGATACATTAATGATACAGTTCTAAAATGAACTTTGATTTCTGCTTACAAATTATTCTTAATCCCAGTTTCAAAGACTATAGTCTATGCTATACTACCTGCAACTGTGAAATGTTCAGTTGTTCTGCCAGCATTTAGATCTGATCCAAATTTAGTTGTTTTTTTTAGTGTCTTTCATTACAGACATTTGGGGGGATGCTTAAAAAGATGATGTTCTGTGCACTCTAAACAAAACAACCGACCCCACAAACCAAAACTTGAATGCTGGCTTTGAAAGCTCTTCCTAATATGTCTTTAACATGTTTCTAGTGAGTGTGCATATATGTGTGTTTTAAAAGAATTGAAGCCCAGGGGAAAAAGAGAGAAATGGTTGCTCCAGAGTTTACAAGCAGCCTTTCCATGAAGTAATTTCTCACTGCCTGTGCCTGACCACAGGAAGTGTTCTAATATTCCTGCCACCAACCCTGGTAGGGGGTTTTTCTGCTGGCTTAATGTCACATCTTTCTTATTGGGCACCCCTCAATCTAACTCGGCCTATTCAATGATGTCCTTATTCTCTGATCAGTATGAATTTTGAGTAAGTTGGATGGACAATAACGGTAAACCATTTCGATTTCATCAACAATGTCATTGTTTATATTAGAAGAAACAAGAATATTTCACAGCTTTCCCCCAGTAAAAAAAGAAATCTATTGCCTGCAATTTCCAATACCTGTGTTTGTTTTGTGTGTAGCATTCTGTGTTGTCTGTTGTGTCCAAATCCAGCACTTACAGTAACCTTTAAGTGTACTAGCTCCTTTGCTATTCACTGACTTGTTCTTAGAGTTAAATCCTCTGCTCATTTTTCTCATTCGTTTTGCTACCCCTTTCTTCTCTTCAGCTACTGTTGAGGCTATTGAGGCTGATGAAGGTAAATTGGCCAGACCCCTTTCTGTTGTCCTTGCAACAGAGAAGGGCTCTGCTGGGTGTATTCATCTTTGCTGTAGCTTGTATAGAGTGTGTGGGTGTTGAGCTAACAATTGTGGCTCAGTATTAACCTAAGTTTACTTGCTTTAAAGGGGAAAGTGTTTCTTTTGTTGTTGGTGTTGTTGTTTTTTTAAAGTTGCAACAATGTTCTGATCTGTGTCCATTAAGCTAAAAGTGCTGAATCAATGTCGCACAAGGATAAGAAAACTTGCAACTCAGCTTAAAGGGGGCATGGCAGCTCTGTAGCAGAAGTGATTTGACAAAGCAATCCCTTTGGAGGAATCTATCTGTTCCATACATCAGCATCAGCTATATATAAAAATTGAGAGAATGCAACATTCTTAAGTCGAATGGGGTCCTCCCTGTACTGAAATCATAGCAAAAGTATATATTTATATATTTTGAATGAGTCTTCAATATAACTCTACAATGTCCCTTTGGGGTGAAAAAAAAAGTTAAAGTAACAAGAAATGGTAAGATCGTTTTTCCTGCAAAACTCTGGGAACTTCTTGTAATGCACCCATTCATACAAGCACTATTTTTAAATGATCACTGGCACAAATGAATTACTTTGGAAGATATTTCAGTGCAAAATTTCAGGCTGCCTTTTTCAAGGATCCTTTTATTACAGCTTCTAAGCAATGTGGTTAGTTATACAGTTAAGAGATTGCCAAATGCATACAAAAATATTGTGATGTATGCAATAATACATTTATTCATTCAAATTGTTTTCTGAGAAGACTCTCAAAAGTTCCCCTTTAAAACAAAGCAACAACAAAATCTTCAGTTGTATTTTGTTCTTGCCCCCCTAAAATGAAGTTTTTCCAAGCAAAAATAATTAACCATTAGTTCTTTTGGCAAGGAGTAATAGTGCCTTTTGGCCCCCATCTGGGTTTTTTATCTTTTTGTTACAGCAGTGAACAAAATTCTTAGAAAGAAGTAAGAGAAAATACAACTGCTTTCTAAATAGCAGCTCACTCACTGCTATTTATGTTGGAATCCTCTATTCCTATTGCCAAATTCTACTCTGCAGTGTGCATTCTTGTTGACAAGTTTGGCTGTTTTTTTTCCTGTGATTTCTGTGACTGTGTCGTGTTTTTTATTATTACTCTCAATGTAAACTGCTAAAAATCATTGTCTGACCAGCAACCGTAGCAGAGCACAATCGTCAACACTAAGATGTATAAAATGTCTGCTTGACACCAAGGTTAATTTAAAATGCAGCCCATTCTGGGCATATGTGTTGTTCAAGTTAAACTTTGCATTAACCAAAGATTAATTTTGAGGATTAGTTTTTGTTTCTTTGCTTTTCAAGTTTTTCTCCTTTGTGAAATCTAATACAAATTCTAATTATATGAATAATTTTACTTGGGGGCCTGTTTAGGCCTTTGATGGAGCCAACTGTTCACACCCTCAACTTCAGCAGTGCATCCTACAAAATCAGCCCGCATTACACTTTACATTGCCATTCATTATACACCTGCTTCTAGGGACTGGGTGAACAATTAGCAGCATTGTGGTGAATTTTTAAGGGATATTTGGATGTTTTGCTATGATTGTTTGTTCAAGCATAATTGTGAAACATCTATGAAATTTGATTGGAATGGGTGGAGACTTGAATACTGATCTTCAGGGGAGGGGAGGGCCAATCTAGACAACTGAGGGTGCTTGGGCCCATGGTAGGTTCCACAACAATTTGTGTTGTCTGAAGTGGTCAGACATGCAGTGACATGTTGGATTGGATCCAAAGGTGCCCTTCCACATGTTGGTGTCTCCCAGTCATGGAGACGCCATCTTATACCTCATGCTAGAATTTTATGTAAGGAAGGGGAAATGGTATGCAACTATTTTCTTCTGTTTGCACAGTCCCTTGTACAAACGGAAACAGATAGATTCTACTTATTTAAAACACTGTGTGCATTCTTGTGCAATTTTGTGTGGAATTGCACTAGCTGATACTTTCTTTCCACTCGTGGTTCTTTGGATCCAATCCACTTACAGATTGCTGATATTTTCATGACTTTTGATGGCCTTAAGGCTGGTTTCATTTCCTACCACTTTAGATGATGCAGAATGCAGTGGATTCCACCCAGTAATGAGTGCAAAAGAGCAATTAAAAATCACCACATGGCGGAAAAAAACGGTCCTCTGTATTTGTCTGCAGTACATATTTCCCACAGCAGTGGTTGGCATGAGAGGAGTTGTACTTGCCACAAAATTCAACACAAGTGGTTTAATAGTACCAGGGACTTTATTCATCAGGGGAAAATGTGAAAATCATCAAAAGCCGGAAAGGATTGTGCTTTCTTCTTAATCGAGATCAAATTTGATTAGAGTTCCAGATAGATAAAGCAAAGAGCAAATTCATTCTCTAGTCCCCTCCTTTCTGCTCACACGCTCCAGTATTCCACACCCCATGTTGCTGGTACTAGCTGACCATCTTGGCTTTCTTGCATGTTCAGAAACTGAGCAGAAAGAAACATCACCAACATTCTTGAAATGCAGTACATATTTCATGTGTCTTTTTAAAATTGATCTAAGAATGCTTCACAGGGTAGAGTGATCAATGTGCTAAGCCTTATTAATAGACTGTTGCCAGGATGCCCCTGATTTTCATTTTAAGTGCTGTCTAATATAAGTCCCTGAAAAGAACAGAATAATATCAAGCTCCTTAAATATAAATATAATATTGAGTTGGTGAATACCCAGTGAGATCAATGTGGAACTCCTAATGTCATTGCTGAAGGGCAGGTTCACTGACTTTTAAAATTAGTTATTGGATCCCATGTTCTTACACTTTCAACATTAAGAAGGGCAAATATGTGAAGGGAATGGCACCAATGGGCCATGGCACACTGCATTACAGCAGCTTAACCAGACTCCTCTGTAGTACTTTAAGACTGACAGAGAAGGTTATTGCTCCTGAGGAGAGCATGAGCATTCTTGTTGCAGTGAAATAATGGAAGGCCTTTTCCTAATGCTTTATAAGGCTGGCCTCATGTGATAAATTTAATACAAATTCCAGGTGCCTTTGTAAATGGAAACAATCTTGTTTCCCATGATTCCCAGAGCAGACCATTAAATAGCAAGCTACCTATTCCTGTTCTCCTTGCTTTCCTTTCCTTTTTTATTATGAATTTGCTTGTCTTTGTCATGGTCAAATGGTACATCATCTGAGATGCTGACCAGGCTAAAGACTAACCAGGTTCCTTGATTTTACCCAGGATTCTTAACCAGGATTTAAAGTTTAATTGCTCTCAGATGCCATCTCTCTCGTTCATTTACAGAACTTGGTCAGCAGTCTAGACATTGGGCCTGTGTAGACAAGGCATTTATTGTGCACTTGTGATCCCTTGCAGAAGTTTGCTGGGCCTTTTCATGACATCTTCCTCCAGGGCCTCTCCTGAGTTTTCCAGACACTCTCATGGCTTTATTTAGAGCAAGGAAATTCTGATATTTTCCTCGATGGCACCTTTATTCACCACAGAGGCATGCCAAACACAGCCGAAAACCAATTCAGATATTTTCTTTTAATGTTATAAAGTTATTGCAAGGTGATTTTTACATTCCCAATTTCAAATTAATGTCTCCATTCAGACCTACACTTGTAACTGCTGGCATTTTCCACATCAAGCCTGAGAATAAACAGGCTTCCTGCTGTAATTCCATCTGCCAACATGAGGGGAGACAGGTTTACTGCATGAAATTGCAAAGCAAAAATCATTGTGATGATGTAACTGCATTTTTAAAAGTGTGCTTTGGCCTCTAGACTGTAAGACAACAGATTTCAGTTGCTCATTACATTTCTGTGAGCACTACTAACTCCTGCAAAATTGTTAATCTAGACCAAGCTACAGAATAAAAATGTCAGAACTGAATTTTGCCGAGAGCATCCTTATCTTTCAAGAGACATGGGCTGTTTCCTTTCTAGCTGTTTCCAAATACATCTAGAAGCTTTAATTGCATTGTCATTTTATTTTCTTCACCATTAAGGAATTTCTCTTTCAGTTAATTGTTCAATAAGCTGATGATATCCCAACCCTTTGTTCCATTGACTTTCCTTTTCTTTCTTATTTTTGTTGTTTTTTCCCCCCCAATTCTCTGTATAGCGATCAAAGGATTCTCACCACAACATAAGATCACGAGCTTTGAAGAAGCCAAAGGCTTGGATCGGATTAATGAGAGGATGCCCCCACGCAGGGATGCCATGCCATCAGATGCCAACCTTAACTCCATCAACAAGGCCATCTCCTCAGAGACTAATGGCACTGACAGTAATGGCAGTAATAGCAGCAATATTCAGTGACCATTTCTGACTTGTGATTTTTTTGTTTTGGAGCTGCAGGGCATGATGGGATAACTGCTCATCAGCAGTTGGATGTTCTTGCCTCTGATGATAGCTTTCTTGCTCTGGGGGCCAGGTGTTGGATTCAGTTTACAATATCATCTAAGAAGAGATAGTAAACTTTATTTTGGTGGGTGGGGGGTGGGGGTTAAACACCTCCTTGGATATGCCTTTAAAATGCTTGTAGAAAACTAAATGAAAGCTAATGCTGGTATATATTGCAAAGTTAGGGGAATGAACATGTTTTCCTACTGCATTGGAAACTTCTAGATATGTTAACTGAAAGGCCTTTTATTATGTTACTGGATATGACAACTTTGTCTGATTTCTTACTAACTATTGTACGTTTACAGTTGCAGCACTAAACATGGACAACATCAAAACATTTTTAACAAAGTGATGTACAAACTAAATAAGTAGACTATTTATTGATAATGTTTTGCTACTCTTGTCAGACGATGGCGATCTTAAAAAAAATTAGGCAATCTTTAAAGAAGATATAAAAATAAAAAGAATGTTGCAAATTTGTTAAAAATGCCAAAAAGGACAGTTTAATTTTGTACAGATTATGCTTACCTCAGGTTTCTTTAGTGTGCTTGAATGCCCTTCTTTAAATAGAACATTTACCTTAATTAATTTGGCAGTGATAAATCTTTTTCTTTTAAGTTCTTAAGAAAAAAAACTGGAATAATGATATCCTTCTTTTTTTCTTTCTTTTTTTCTTTTTGCTGTTTATATTTAGGATTATTATTATATTATTATTATTTTGGCAAATCAAGTCTTGGTTGTGGCTTGCTGAATTTAAATATTTATGAGTGGTGCATTTTTAAGTATAGTGAACAAGACACCATATTAAGTGCAGTGAAAGCATCTATATTCTGTAAAAATCTGCCTATGCATGTTTTTTAAGAAAAAAAATTGGCTGTATAGGCCTGTATGGGACTGTAATGCGCTTAGTGGTCTGACTTATACTGGAAATGTATGTATACTGGCGTACTTTATATTCTCTAAAAAGAAAATGCTAATGCCTTTGAAATTTTGTAATCAAAAAAAAAGCTTTGAAAAATCTAAGGGGGAGAGTATTCTTAAAAGTTTTTAATATAAGCTTGTCAGTGCACATATAGATGGGTAGCATGTTTAGCAAACCTTGTGAAATTTAAACTAAGTTTGTAGTTACATGTGAAACTAAATGCATGAAAACTGTTAATGTCATGATGGTTTAGTCATTTTGTTACGTTCTGTCATGTGCCACAAAATGTGTAATTTTTTCACTTTTTTCCCATTGTATATCAGTTACGGGTTACAACTGGTTCATTCTTAAAGGAAGAGGAAAAAAAAACCAACAAAACAGTCCACTGATATTTTTTAACAATTGTATAAGTGCCCAAGTAATTCACTACAGCCTACAGCCTTGCCTTTGTAATTTGACTTATGAAATGTTGGCAATCAAAGCATGCACTTGTAACAATGAAAAAAAAAACATTTTATATTACTACTCAATAAAAATGTGCATGAACCTAGGACTCCTCTCACTAAATCTCTGAAGCATGGCAATATGTACTAGAGGCTCACGGGGTTTGGGCGGGGCGGGGGGGGGTCTCACCAGTTGGTTTGTCTGTTGTATATCCTTTTTAATAGCCCCTGTGTACAGGTCTGCATGTGTAAGCGCCATTGCATGAGTACTTCTTTTATACTTCAGTTTTGCAGTCCTTGGGAAACATTGCTGTGATCTCAAGAGGGGTGATCCATTCAGATTGTTTTCCCATCTCCTTCCCCTGGCAGTCACTAGGAAAAGCAGCATGAAAGCTGCTATTCCAGTGTCAAAACAGCCACGTTGAAATCGCTCCCAGAGAGGCACAGGACAGAGGACAGGAAAGGAGAAAAACCAGCAAGAATGCACAAGATCCTAAAGCCTCTCCTTTGCCCCTTTGTCCCTTCCATGCAACAAGGTAGGTCTACTAGACCAGTGGTTCTTGGTGTCAGCCATAGGGCCCCACAATATGCCATAGCATATTTCCAGAGGGCCAGAACAAGTTTCTGAGGGACATCCAAACTTAGCTGCCTGGCATAGGATCAATTTGCCATAATTCTCATTGCTTTGCTAATTTCAGCAGCAAAAATATTGAAAATAACTACAGTTTACCATAAATATCTTAAGGAAAAAGGTAGTCTGTAGTAAATGAAATTTCATATTCATTAGAACCACTAGATTAGATTAATGAACAGTGCAGATGGTAAAGTACCTTTCTTCCAGCAAATACTGACCATGAAGAGGGTCACAGAGGTAAATGAGAATCAGAAGGGGAGCATGAGTAAAATAAAAGTTGAGAAAAGACACCCAAGAGCCTTGTCTAGCTGCAAATGTGAATAAATGGAGGAACGGGAGGTATTTCACCTCCAACGTCCTCCTAGCCTACCTGGAAGGCAAAGGGTTGGCAGAGAAATCTGACTTTAGAGCCTTCTGTCTAAGTAGAAATCCCTTAGGACTGTGGTCTTGGGAACATGAGACATTACCTTATACCAAGTAAGACCACTGATTCATCTATCTCCTTATTTTCCGTCTTGATAAGCAGAAACTTTTCAGGGTCTTAACTGGAGAAAAATATCTACATTTCCAATTGTTGTTGTTGCTAGTTGCGAAGTCATGTCCAACCCATCGCGAAGGAATGTACAACATTCCTTCAGGCCTTCCTGTCCTCCACCATCCCCCAGAGCCCACCCAGCTCATGCCGACTGCCTCAGTGACTCCATCCAGCCACCTCATTCTCTGCCATCCCCTTCTTCTTTTGCCGTCTATTGTTCCCAGCATCAGGCTCTTCTCCAGGGACTCCTTCCTTCTCATTAGGTGGCCAAAGTATTTCAGTTCCATCTTCAGTATCTGGCCTTCTAAAGAGCAGTCAGGGTGGATCTCCTCTAGGACTGACCGGTTTGATCGCCTTGCGGTCCAAGGGACTCGCAGGAGTCTCCTCCAGCACCACAATTCAAAGGCCTCAGTTCTTTGGTGCTCAGCCTTCCTTATGGTCCAGCTTTCACAGCCATACATTGCAACTGGGAAAACCATAGCCTTGACTATACGCACTTTTGTTGGCAGGGTGATGTCTCTGCTTTTTAGCATGCTATCCAAATTTGCCATGGCTTTCCTCCCAAGGAGCAAGTGTCTTTTAATTTCTTGGCTGCAGCCCCCATCTGCGGTGATCTTGGAGCCCAGGAAAATAAAATCTGTCACTAACATTTGCAATACACGTGTATTGTCAACTGGGTGCAGCCCCGCCCCTTGATCTTTGTCTATTCTTTTTGCTTAACAGGAGTATAGAACATAAAGAGCGTCTTTGAATTAGAGGGAAATTGTTTACCAAGCTGTTTCATGACTGCCAGTTACTTTTGCTGCAACAAAAGAAAATAGTTTTCATTTTCAAACCTTCACCCCAGAGAACATTCTCTCTCACAGCTCTATGCTTTACTGTTCTGGCATTGCTGCAGTTGCTTGTTAGCAGAACATGGAACGTCTGGACTTATTCCTTCCAAAATAAGCAGAGCTGAACATTCAGCCTACCATTCATAGACACTCCCATGTCCTAGATTAAGTCTTTTCCTTCATTCCTGACACATCTACCTGTCTCAGTTTTTTGTTTGTTTGTTTTAAATGCAGGATAGGCTGTGAGAATTCATACACAGAACCAGTTTGTGTGTTTGGGAATCATGGTTTAATTTTGTCACAGTATGCACTGCACAATAGGTGACTCTTCTTTTTCAATTATCCCATATCCCTCTAAAATGTTCTTGCTTCCAATATGAACTGCCCTTGAAGCTTAGACTCTTTCTAGGCGAGCTCATTTCAAGCTAGCATGACAAGTTTATACATCCCCACTTTATATCAGGGCAAACTTGTTTGTTCCTGACTTGATTTCCCTGGAAATAAAGGATTTTGTTTCTGGCATGCACCAGTTGTCATGAGGATAAAGTAAGAATGTTTTGATGCAGTTTCAAGAATTCCATTTATACAATCTTTCTCCACTTGCTGATAATAAACTGTTACAGAAGAATTTGTGACTGAAAGTGAGACGGTGTAGCATGACCACAGTCCCTGTAGCGCCATACCTACCTAATTCTGTGAGTAATGACATTATGCAGGCATCAGGAGCAGAAAGGGCCTGGCATCTGCTGAGGGTCTTTACCCTACCAGAGGTCCAATGATGGCAAGAACCTCTAGAGCTGCTCTTTACCATTGCAATGTGCTTGTTCCCCTGCTGTGATAGTGGAAAAAGAAGCAGTAGATGTCACTGCCTACTTGCTCATTGGTTCACCGCTTGCAGAGCAAGCAAGGATGAATTGAGGGTCAATAGCTGTGACAACTGTGGTGAGGATGTAGATGCTCTGAAGAAAGGGGCCCATTGAGGGTGCATTGCCCAACGTTGCACTGCTCCAAACCCTGGTGCTGGTACTGATCAATAACAGGCCCTTGGTAAAGGAATAACCTTCACCATGAGGTTCTCCATGTGGCATTCTCCCATATTTCATACTCTGAAATAAACACTGTGGGGATATGCATGATATGGATGCATCAATGGCAGACATTCTTACCATGTTTCTGCAAGAATGTGTTTCAGGCCATAATTTTTCTACGTGTGGCTGAGGAAGATTAAGGGTAAAGCAGTGAAATGGGCGGTCTAGTCTATTTTTCATTTTTATTTAAGAAGCTAATTGTAATTCTTATAATAGGTACCTACTCCAAGCTTTCATAACAGGTAGGGCAAATACAAGGAGTTTCAAGGAAGCTGGCCAACATGCTATGAGCAACGCACATTACCCTCGTGGTAAGATGCTCCACTATTCCTTTGTAGAACGCTGTACTTTTATTCATTGTTTCGGATCTTTTCTTGGCATGTCTTGTGTGAGCTGCCCTAAGAACATTTTTTTTAAAAGAGTGACATATCAATATCTGACATAAAGGGATCCCTGGGAGACCTGGATTAAGCTTGTTCAGGTTCTGAGTTTTTCATAGCTGGGCTTGTGCCATCCCATCCACTGACTATTAAGAATTAGAATACATTGTTGGATAGCTGATATTTGAGAAAAACATGGATTGCACTTTTCTTCCACTTTGAACCCAAGAAGAGCATGATGGTTTGCTCATGTTGATCTCACAACATCCTTGAGAGGTAAAGAATGACTCGGCCTAGCCTGGCACTAACCACGGCAGGGTGGAAGTGGGTCGCTTGAGTCCAGCATGAACCACTGCATTACATTGACTTAAAGATGTTTGGTTAATGTTGCACTTGAAGAAAGGAAAACTTGCTGGATGATGGACTTTTATATCTTGGTACCTGGCTAATTTCCCCTGCTTCTTAATTGCTAAGGTAAATTAGTTGAGTGAAATAAAGGCTGAAGAGTCCAGTAGCAGCTCCATCTTTTTCATCATGCTGTCAAGAAAAACGAAGCTTTCAAGTGGTGAGTGACCAGTCACCTTTCCATACAACAAATATACATGAGCCACAATTGTTCAAATAGTTCTGAATCAAGAAAGAATGTAAACAGGAATTTGTGGCACTTAATATTGATGTAGACTGAGAATAGCCTAGCATTCAGCTTCAGTAGACTTACTTCAGTGGGATGGTGGTAGGAAAAGATGGACAGTGGAGGGAGCAGATCACACAAAACCTGTAATAAAAAGAAAGGAAAACATTCATAAGGGGGGCAGTCAGCCATTCACATGGTTACAGGTGATCATTTTATATGTTTACTTTAAAAAGTTGTATCCCATATTCAAATTAATGTGCTTAACTACAGGCAGGAAAAGCAAGCACAGTGCTATTCCTGTAGTCCTGTTGGTGCTGTGATTCAAATTAGTTTAAAATACAAAACTGCAGATGCAGAGAGTATTTCCTTTAACAGCAAGGCCAGAAAACTACTGCTTGTGTTTGGATCTAACATCAGCAATACAGGAGGAGTTATAAAGTATGGGATAGCAGGGGCGAGACGAGAAGAAATAAACTAACTATAAGATTTGTAACTAAACTAACATTCTGGTTTTCTAAAGGAGTTCTGTATAACTCCATTACATCCAGTGCCTAGAATTACCTAGCTGAACTACATGCCTGGAAATAATCCTACCCTACAGATATTTTTGGATGTTTGTCAAAAATGCAGAAATAATCAGATTGGTAAAGAGCATTTATGGGCAAGAGATTAGGGTCAGAATAATAACAACAGCTTGTGTTGGTCACCAGGTTTGAGTAGGCTTGAGTAGCCCTGGACCAAGATCTATTTTGGCAAAGTAGGTTGTTGATGTATCAAGCTTTTGGGCTATGCATGAGAACTTTTGGAATCACTTTTAAGTGTCCAAGACCTCTTCACAGCTCTTCTTCCAAATCCAGAGGAATGAAACCCAGAATCTGCACTGAGATTCTTCCCTTCCCATCTCCACTGCCCAGACATTGGCAGAATCCCTCTGGAAATAGTGAGGGTATGGGAAAAATGGCTGCAGAAGGCAATTTTATATAGAGAGCTGATTTGTTC